AATATTAACATTCAGTGAAATTTCCATGTACCTACAGTAATTTGTTTTTTAATTACAACAAAATAAGAAAATTGCTACATAAGAAATCGCTTGAATGTCCAATGTAAAAATATGAACTTCAAATGCACATAAAAATTTCATTCGACTTTCTTGTAAACATTTTTTTTTTTTTAAAAGGTAGACAAACCTATGGGCTATGATGAATATTGTATTACATTTTAAAATCCTAGATTTAAATAGAAAATTTAAATGCTAATAAAAAAAAATTGTGACTGGACTTTTAATATTTTATCATCTTTGAAACAATATATTAGGAGCCTTCTATATATGTTCAAGCTTTTTTATCTAACAAATAAAATTTTATTGATACTTGTAGAATAAAAAACTAAAAAAATCGGAAGCTGAAAATGTCCGTAAACAGCGCGTTTTTCACGGCGCCTTTGAACTACTAGGTCATTTTTACTTTTGTCCCCGAAGTACCAACTAGATTCACTTTCCTATCAGAAAAAATAATTTTGAAAAAAATCTAAGCACTTTTATTGCCTTAAAAGGTATGACAGACGCAAAAAAAATTTCAAAAAACTAAAAAACCCACATCATTGTAAAATCAATACATTCTCGCTCCTCTTGGAATCTAAAATAAGTTATGTTTAAAAACATTTCAGTTCTAGGAAAAAAATACAAAACAAAAAGACCTTTCACGTTTAAAATACTAATATTTTAATATCTACTTAAAACAGTACCTTATAGGTATATTTAATTTTGGCATATTTTATGAAAAGTAAAATCGTCTTAAAACAATTATCCTTTGTAATTGAAAATTAGCTGTATATATATGTGTTAATAAAAAAAACATTAAATTAAATTAATAACGTTGAGTCCATAATTTAAATGTTAGTTGTCAATCTCAAAATTTTGAAATATTGTCTTTTTGTAAGTGAAAAAAGATCGTTTGATGCATCCGCACGAGAGTACGAGACACATAAGATTTATAATAAACAATTTAATTCAGGGCGTTAAAACGGGTTTGTACCCGCAAAAATTGGTACCCGGTTTTGAACATGAAACTCGAAATCCAAAATATTTTAACCTGTTTTGACTCCCTGATTTTAATTTAACTGAAGTTGACATACTGTCTACTACAGTAGAATTTATTTCGTAAGAGAGGAGGGGCATTAATTAGCTTTAATAATGCTAATTAGCATTAATTAACTTCTATGTTGTATATATCTAATAATAATAATAATATTTTATTAACGGAATAAATAAGCTTTTATTGCAACCATACAAAATAATATAAGTTTAAGTATCTACGAATTACGAATATATAAATAAATATAGTATATTCATACCTATAATTTATGTCCCATACGATATGTTTTAGAGTATTTGCTTATAAAAATTCAAGATTTTGAGGGTCGTTTCCGCTGCTACAGTGTTTTACAGTTATGTTACAGCACTATACGTCGATACCTACCTATATATAACGTATATTGACGTGTGTATTTACTATTTTTGGCTATCGTATCAAATAAATTACAAAATAGATTGATAGGTACTGCTTTTTTTGTACCTATAGGTACCTATATTAATAAATAATATGTTCCTTCATATTACGTTGTGTTTTAAATATTTTATTAAACTCTCGCCAATAATAGGTACTCTATTATACACAATTTCTCGTGGAGCGATACTCTTATTTTGTTGTAATTCAAAAACGAATAACTGTAGATACATGACAATTTGACTGAATGTTTATTTAATCAATTCTTATACTTGATAAAATTTTCAAAATATTTCGACTTGTTTTGAGTTGTTTAATGACAATTTCATAATTCAATTTTTTTATTTTTTATCTATGAATATCAATAATGTTTTATCTGTTGGGCCAAAAAGCGTAAAAATTTAATACAAGGCTCCTGATATATTGTTACAATAGCAGCTTAAAAATATTAAAAATACATATGCAAATTTTTTTTTATAAGCATTTAAAGATCGAATTTTGACAACATTTATCAAATGAATAATTATTATGTAGTTAAGAACTTATAAAATGTTCAAATTTTAAATCTAAGGATTGAAAATTTAAAACAAGAATTAGTTAATTCTGTTACCAAAAAATCTATAAAATTTATTTTACAGTTTATTTTTTTAGTCATTTTAAGTTAAATTTGGACGAAATTACATATTAAAAAAACCGGCCAAGTGCGAGTCGGACTCCCGCACGAATAAGGGTTCCGTACCCATCATCAGCTATAAACATGTTGGCAACACTGCTTATATTATTTATTCTAGGATTTTTAGCATTTGTTGTTATAGTATCAATAGAAATACATAATCTGTGAAAATTTCAACTTTCTAACTTTCATGGTTCATGAGATACAGCCTGGTGACAGACGGACGGACCGTCGGACAGCGGAGCCTCAGTAATAGGGTCCATTTTTACCGCACGGAACCCTGAAAACTTAGAATAACCATTTTAGTTATTTTGTTATGATTGTTTAATATTTTCGCGGGTACTTGAAACTTCTAAAGTATACTATTATTATATATCTATGATAGTATCACCGATCACGGTTTTTTGTTGATGTATAACGCGTTATAAGTACCTAATAAATATTGTGATATGATTAATTTGGAATTTATTATAGGTACCTACTATAGGTTAATTTTTTTTATTACCATAGATAAGTATATAGTATGTCTTATACCTAGACTGATATACCATCTCCGCTCAGAATCGTTTTTCTTATACGATGATATAATATCTTTGAATTCAAATTTAACATACCATCCATTATATACAGTGACTCACTTGCCCACCTTTTTTAATATTGATTTTTGCGTTTGTCATCAACTTTTGAAGCATCAAAAAGTGTTAGATTTTCAACTTCAATATATTTTTTGGTAGGAATGTGGTAGTACGTATGGTCAACAGTAAAAATTCCCAGCACTTTTTTATAATTGGACGGAAAAAATAAAAAACAGGAATTTAATCTAAAAACTAGTTTTTTACCAAATTTCTTGTTATTCAAAAACAAATTACTAGATGCTTGACATTTTCACAAATTGTTTATATTCGCATTTTCTGTGCATGGTGTAAGTTTCAAAATGTTTGATCCTTTTGAGCTATTTATAAACATGTGAAATTTTAGACACTCACAAATACTGTGGCTCATGTTTGTTGACTAATAATTTATTGTATTTTTGTGTAAAGCACGCCGCCGCACGCGTTACCGAAATATACCGTACCTATTATTTATTATAAATAACTTATGTCTATTGTATATTGGAACCACAACAAATTTGGGAAAAGTATTATAAAAGTACTATATCATCAGATATATTAATAATTCTGGAACGCTGATACCTATATTGCTATAAATGCATTAGCTGTTTTAATTTCAAACAGCACAATGCATTAGTATTATATAATGTTGTATTGCTATTGAAATAATTTAAATTTTAAAAGTTTTAATAATTCACAAGGGAACAAATTTCTGATGACGAAATGTTGGCGCCCGGGACAGTTGTAGCCAGTGTCCCCTTAAATGCGGCACTGTTTAAAGTTAAAATTTTGTTAAAATTCATCAAAATTACGAAAATTTTCAAATTATTTTGTAGGTAAAAATCATTGATATATATATACAACAACATAATATAATACGTTCGATTTTTTTAGCTACTGATTGATAATACCAGGTTCATTTTAAGAAGTTTTTGCTAAATCCCAAAATGTTATAACTGTGTATAAAAACAATTTTATTTAAAGACATTTGAATTTAAAATTTTACGAATATTTAAACAAAGATTCGATTTTAGTTATTGTGTTGTAATTCAAAAATATTAGTGAGGGCCCCTCCCCTGAATAAGTCACTGGTTGTCACTAATTAGGTACTTCTGTACCTACCTAATTTTTTTTTTATAATACTTAAATTATAAAAGAATAGTTTTATAATATATTTTATAATTTGTAAGATATTGTAAAATTATATAATGTACTTAACAAAGAGCACATTCTATTTTTTTTAAAACAATAAAGTAAATCTACTCATATTTTTTTGATATTTACCTGTAAGGCAAAACAAATGTTGAGGTAAGGGAGTTAATAGTCTATTAGCTATTGCTTACTTATAAATGCCCTTACGAAATTCAAGTCCTAAAATAGACCCTGATTTACCCTGATCACCTGTAACATTTAAAACCTGCAAAACAGCTAATAATTCAAACTGTCCATCATTTACATTTCACTAATTTATCGATATTTTATTTTCAATGTCCAATATTTAGCTCTAAAATGTGTGATATTTTACTTTTTAAATTTAAATTATTGAATTATTTAATTACTAATTAAAATATTAGAAAATTTTCTTTTATACACAGATTAACTTCTTTGCTAAAATATTGATAATAGAAGTTTTTACTCTCAAATCGCTCAAATGATCAATAAACCATTAATGGAAATACAAAAACTAATACTTATCATTTTTCGTAGAATTTTTCCATACTATTGATATTTGATACCACTTAATTTTCATAATTAACTAATATATTTTTAATTTTTAAAAATTGTTCTTTTTTTCTGGGATTCCTTGAAATGTTGACATATATTATTATATTTAATTACACGCAATGATTTTCGAAATATTAAGATTCATTTTCATTTTTAAGCAATTATCTTTGTAAACTATAAATAGGTAATATCTTAAAATCAATAACTAATTACTAATATAAATATAAATAATTTATATAATTATTAATAGCAATACAAATATATGATACTATATTACTATATACTTTAATACTTAGTAATAAGTAATAACCTAGTTAGTTACTTATGTCTTATGTGGACTAGCAGACCGTCTCCAGTCAGTCTCACCTACTCTTCTCCATTTTTTACTTACAACTTAAAAATTATCTGCTATATTTATTTGTACCTAATTCAAATTTTTAACTATGTACACTAATGTATACTTATTTGTTATTTTCAGCCAAGTGTGATGTTAAAAATATGGACTGAAGAATTTTTAAATGTAAGTTAAAATATTTGTCTTTAAGTAAATTATATTTTTTAATATAATATAGGTATAATAGGTATCTAATCTTATATTATTGTTATTGGTAGTTCCTTACTATTGATTGACTAATTAATTCTTAAATTCTTTATTGATTTAAACTCTAGACTGTGAGCAGATTGGATCCATATTTTATAGCTTTGCATTGTCAAGAGGTTGGTGGGAAAAATTACGAAGAAAGCATGAAACACGTCAATTTTTTTGTTAGGTAATTAATGATTTAATAAATTATTTATTGATTTGTTTAAATTTATTAGTCGATAATTTAAAAGTGAATAGCCACAATTATTTGTTAAATAATTTTTATTTATTTTTATTTTGGAAACAAGACTATTTTTGGTTTATTTTTGTAGTTATTTTACTATACAGCACAGTTATTTAAATGTTTCTTATGCCTCGATGTTTCACAATTTACGATACCCTATTCTTTTTTAACAAATTAAGTATTAACTTTCACGTGTTATAAGCAAAAAAAATTTCCTTGAACACATATAATCAATATTGTAGACTATAGTATTATACTTACTTTAACTAGAAAAATCATTTGATGACTTCTAATTATTAATCATAATTTATGTAAATTTATTTTTGTTTGCAATTACTTCATTAGCATAAATGTTTTATGGTTTATAATTCAAAATAATTTAAATAATTTAAATAATTTTGTATAATAAAACTTAATTTTAAGTTTTGAATCATGGTTTTTACTAAAAACTAAAACTTTTTAGTATGAAATAACAATTAAATGTCTATACCTTTTCATTTATACAATGCTTAATTGTGTGTTAACATAATATAATATAGTGAACAGATTATTTTCTATTATACATAATTTTGTATTTAGCAACACTACTTTTTTACATTTGCTTCGTCAATTATAATAAATTAATAATTATTATATAAGTTACAATTAATACACTAATATATGAGTTTTTAATATTAATTTTGGTAATTAATGTAATAAAATTATAATATGGCTGAAATTATTATTGACTATTATAATTATTAAAATTTGTTCAAGACTTATGTAATTAAATATTTAATGATTATGGTAATGAAACTATTATATTTATGTTAAAAAGTATCTACTTGCATTCATTTTAATTATTTTCACAATCCAATAGATCTTTAACTGATAAAAATAAATTACAAAATATGAACAGAAATTTAGATTTTTATGTACCGTGCTGATTATACAGGAAGCTTATTAAGGGATTCCTTTTTGTATTAAAAAAGTTTTAAAACTCTATACTGTTATCTGTACTAAAATATTAATTAATTTAATTACAGTTTATTGATGACAAGCAAGGAGTTAAGGATCTTCAATAGAGCTCAAGTATTTCTTGATGAAGAATTCACATCGGCAGAAAATTTTACAGTAACTAGCCAAGTATAATTGTTACGGTATATTTTTATTTTCGGTTTTCAAATGAAACTCATTATTCGTTATTTTGAATATAAATAAATCAATTCAACTTATCTACTATATCATTTTAATTTCAAAATATTAAAGAATTTAGGAGCATCAAATAAATTATTACATTATTACTTCAATTAACTAATTTTCTCTCAAGTTTTAAAATATACTTCATGTGTATTTAGGTGAGGTTTTTGGTTTTTTTTTTTATTAAATATTATTTTTCATTAGTTGTTTAGTACATACAACATATACCTTGTTTCATAGTCAAATCTAGACAATTTTTATGGATTGGGCTTGAGTGGGGTGAAGAGTATCAAATAAATAAATTAAAAAAATCGGGTAAGTGGATGTTGCTCTGCTGTACAGTAGGTTACAAGTGGGTCATTGTATAATGAATTGTATTAAACTTGAATTCAATGATATAATATCATTGTATAAGAAAAAAACGATTCTGAGCAGAGACGGTTTGTCAGTCTGGATATTTTATATTGTTATTATTTATTATATCATGTAAGTTGAATTAATATTATAATATTATTATTAGATTCTGAGCGGAGCGAGGAAGCTAGTGGTTTTACAATGGTGTTTATTTTTTTTTTTCTTTTTTTTTTTTATATCCTGTATACAACATTTCTACCAGAAGGAATGTTTTGATTTCAACATATAGTACCTTATCTTTTAGCAAATTGGACCAAGATGGTACTTTAGAGAGGTCATTTTTCGATTTTCTCAATAGTTATATAATGCCACGGGAAAAACCACCGAAAAATTACGAAAAACCATTTAAAATCGGATTTTAATTTCTAACGGTTTGTTTATCACCATAGAAACGAATAAAAAATTATAATATTAATTCAACTTACATGATATAATAAATAATAACTATATAAAATATCCAGACTGACAAACCGTCTCAGCTCAGAATCGTTTTTCTTATACAATGATATTATATCATTGAATTCAAGTTTAATACAATCCATTATACAATGACCCACTTGTAACCTACTATACAGCAGAGCGACATCCACTTACCCGCTTTTTTTTTATTCGTTTCTATGGTGATAAACAAAGCGTTATAAATTAAATTCCCATTTTTAGCGTTTTTTCGTAGTATTTTTGGTGGTTTTTCCCGTGGCATTATATAACTATTGAGGAAATCGAAAAATGGCCTCTCTAAAGTACCATCTTGATGCAATTTGCTAAAAGATAAGGTACTATATGTTGAAATCGAAGCACTCCTTCTGGTAGAAATTTTGTATACAGGATATAAAAAAAAAAAATAAAAAAAAAACACCATTGTAAAACCACTAGCTTCCTCGCTCCGCTCAAAATCTAAAATATTGTAATTAAAATTAATTTGTTTAACATAAAAATGTATATTTATACAAGATTGATATGGCTAGTTTTTCGTTATATAACTATTATTTAAAACTTTTCTAATTTTCTAATCTATTATTTTGATTGTTATTTTAAATATTATTTAGTAAATATATAATATAATGTATTTATATAATTACAGTTATACATGAAATCTACGATATAATTTAGTGCATTAACTTTTGTTTCTCTATCTTACTACTATACCTATTTGTTATTTATTTATATATTATTATTATTATTATTATTTTTCAGGCTTTAGGAAACTTTTATTTTATACACGAAGCCATTAAAGAAGCATCTTTATGGGATTTTAATGGTAAGTAAATGTATCTGTTAAATTATTATGGAAAAATAAATATTATATTGACAATTCATTCAAATAACATTATTTTTACTATAAAATGTTGAAAAACTTTAGAACAAAAGTTTTTACCTGTCACTGAAAAAACCATATACTCTGGGAATATTGAACATGTTTCCACAAAAGAAAAGTCAAAATTTCCTCAAGAATTTTTTCCTGAGGTTAGTATTATGTCAAAAAATATAGTTATTAGAATTATTTTTAATTTATTATTATTTATCAATCATTTTTAGTGTAAATGGTCACGTAAAGGTTTTTTGAGAACTAGATGGAAGCTAAATGGTTCTGTATTTGATCTCATAAATATTCATTTGTTTCATGATGCTTCAAATTTTACTGCGATGCAATCTGTGAGTTAATTTTGCTTTAAATCTATTAATAACTGTGCTAAGTCGTAATAATATATTGAATGTATATTTCAATCAGTAATCTGTCTAATATAACAATTAGATAAAATAGATAACACTTTATATATAAAATACTATAAATATTGAACAGTATTTATTAATAATATTCTCCTTGACTGGCATAAGATAAAGTTGTCTTACATTTTTTGTATTTATTATCCTCTTATAGATAATATATTGTCATCTTCATTGTTAGTAATTTTTTTTTTTTTTTTAATTTTCAGCACTCTTCTGTTTATTCTGTCATGAGACAAAAAGCACTTGAATACACTTTAGAACGGTAAGGAAATTTATTGTAAAATAAAAGTAAATAGTTTTTTTTCTATATACAATCTATACTTATGGGACACAGTTAATACATTCGATAAGGATAGGATACATTTATATTTTAATATTAATTAATCACATCAATGAACCAATAATAAGGAATACATAATATTTTTGTGAAGCTTTGATGTGAGCAGTCATCCATTAATTACACTCACAAAATGTAAACATTATCACTTTTTAAATAATTAAATTGATATTCTTAAACTCTATGCGTAATGATAAATGTATTGATTTTACAATGATGTTTGCTTTTAGTTTTTTGTATTTTTCTGTCTAAAGACACTTCTATAGTGGAAAAAATACTGTGATCATCAACTTTGATGGAGGTTTCTTGTAAAATTGGATCAAATTGGTACTTTTGGGAGGTAAAGATAGAAAATTCCTAGTTAAAATAATCAGAAAATAAGATACAAATGTTTATATAATTATTAAAAAAGTGTGTGTTGTGTCAGATTGGGCTCGATAGAAGTGAAACTTGTTGGAAAGTGACATGAATTTAGGGAATTTCATTATACAAAACAAATAGGTACATTTAACGGGATTCTTTACGTAATAGCGCTGCTGGCCCCCGACCTGGGATCATTCACTGACGCGGATAGATGAAGAAGCCCGAGTAGGCTTTTTAGTCGCAACGGCCGAGCCCATGATCCGACTTACACTACCTCGCCTAAAGAAGTTTCACTTCAATAATTGTTTGTTTACCAAAAAATTGGACTTTGCTCAGAATCTTTTTTCATTGTGTATAGTGATTTATTATTAAATTACTCCTACTATGCAGCAGAGCAATTACTTACTTTCCACCTTTTGTTTTATTCTCAGATTAACTATTAATACATAATTTATAAAATATATATGAGTATATGAGTATTTTTATATTATTATTAATGAATGTTATGACTTAAGGTTTCGTAACTACGATTTTGGATTTGCTCCGTTTTTTTTATTTGGAGATTTTAATTTTCGCACGGATACCAAAGCTGTCATAATGGTAAACATTTTTATTGAAATATAGATAATTTGTATATATTTTAAATTGCCTATTTTAATATTACATTTTATTTTACAGAAAATAGTTGAGGGGTTGGACATGGTAAAAGATGATGTTGATAAAGAGAACTTAGTTTTTCAGTATACAGACAATTCAAAAGAAGTAAGTGTTAACTTGATGATTGTACATATTAAGTTAAATTTATTTTCTCTGTCTTACAAGTGCGTAACATAATTCGCTCTAATTTTTAAACTAACGGGAGATAAACGGGTTTTGTTGAGCGTAAAATTTGGTATGTTACGCACTTGTAAGACGGAGACAACAAATGTCACTGTAACGTCCCCTTAATATGTATGTGTAAATGGTATATAATATGAATTTAAATATATGAAATTTTTACAATAATTTTGTTTTATTTTTTTTTTTAGGTAATTTTTACTTTAAGAAAAAAAGAATTTCGCCATCTGGACCATCAAAATACATTTATGTCAAAAAGTGGATCGTGGGTAATTTATTTTTTCACAACTTTGAACTATTCATATATTGTATTAATATTAATGTAAAGTGATAACTGATACCAGTTACTGTTTAGTATATTATTGTAGGCTTGAGGGGAAGTAATTTTGGTTCAAATAAGAAAAAGAGATAGAATTAAAGCCTATTTGATTTAAATTCAATATAAAACTAACTCTATATTTTTAACTATGTCTGTTGTCTTTATTAAGTTTATGTTAAATAATGTTAAATTAAAGACATTCATGAAACTCTAAATTATTTTTTTTTATTTTAAATATATATTTTTGTTTGTTTCCAGTTAAAAGATTTTGATCATGAATTAAAATCTTTTGAAGAACAATTATTTGAATTTCCTATACATTTTCAACCAAGTTATCCATTTGAAGAAAATGAACATGAAGGAATGAACTATATGCAAACCAGGTGCCCAGCTTGGTGTGATAGAGTGGTTTTAAGTACTGGTGCTAAACTTCTAATACATGAAAAGGTAACTATTATATTCAAAATTTATAGTTTATGATACTCAGTATAATATAAAATTTTTAAATTCTAAAAATAGTATTTTTATTATACAACATAGTTATTAGCTTATAGGTCACACTGTTACCTTATAATTTATAAATTACACCATTATGAAAATAACTCTTTAAAATTTAAATTGATAAAAAAGTATGTGATATTTTTGCGAAATATTTTTTATGGTACCCATATCAGTCAAGATGCATTTTTTATGTTGAAGAAGTGCTTCAACATTTAAAAAAATGTTATGGTTATATTATTTACCATTATTTTGTTTACTGTTATATTATTTCATATTGTACTAAAACTCTAATAACACTACTGCTCCTAAAAATGCCTATTGCAACCAAAGTTATTACATGAAATAAATAAATCAATGATTAAATTTATTAAATATCATCATGTCTTCTATCTTTAATTACCTATTATTTCAGGCATTTGAAGAAGATAATTTTGGTGAAGTCGAATATGATCTTATTGGAAAGAAAACATGCATGGGAGATCATAAGGTACCTATTTAAAAAATATAATTATTATTTTACTCAATAGGATTTATAATCTTGGTAACTGTTAAAACCAACATTTCTTAATTTTCACAAGTTAAATTACGTAATTTTAAAAGATATTCAGATTTGTATAAGAAATAAATTATTCATATTTGATTTTTTTATTTCTATTAACTAGTAAAATTCATGAATATATGTTATTCATTTATTACAAAGGTTATACAAACAGTATTTAAAATATTACAATTTAAAAATTAATATAAAAAACTAACTTACAAACACAAATAATATTCTTACGTTCAAGTTTGATTCACTCTAATATTAAAGCTGTTAAAACAAAATTGGTTGTGCTGAATACAAATTTTCTATGCTGTATGTTTGTAAGACACATTGTTGGTATTACATCCTCTAAACATTTTTCATTATAAATATTTTAGATTCTAATTGATTGAGCTATTGACTGCATTACTGCAATTAAAAACATTTAATCATAGCTAATCATTACTAATAATATTATTTTTATTACAGGTATTTTACTTGCTACTTTTTTTATATGTTTATATAATATAAAATACTTAAAAAAATTACGAATTATTGTGTTTTTCCAGCCTGTATACTTGAAATGTGACATTATGAACAATGCAGGTATAGTGGACAGAGTGGATTGTGCTTGTAAGCTTAACCGTGTGCCTCCTGAAACCCAAAATCCACTGCATGCTTTATTGGGTGATCATTTATGTGTAGATTCAAACGAATGTTGTATTCCAGTAGTAGATACAATTATACCAGATAATACTGTATTAGGTGAAGTTAAAATCCCTCCAGCACCATCTACATCCACAGATGATAGTGAACTTGACATTGTATCTATAAAACAAAATTATACGGAAAGTCATTGCAAAACACATAAGCCGTTTGCTTGTGGATTTTTGCGTAAAAAAATATCTGACAAACAAGGGACAAATAAAAGTATATTTCCCGTATCTAATTGTATTTGCAAAACACACAAATGGAAATTTCCGATGATCATGCAAAAAGCTTGGAAGCATAATAGACGTATCAGGCTCAAGTCAATTCCTAGTTTCAATAATATGCCTTTACAAAGGTATCAAAGCCACCATAGTTCATCAGACGAAGATTGGTTTGAGGAAATTGCCGATGATGAAACTAATAATTGTGATGACAAGAAAAACAAATGTAATTCTAATTCAAACAAAACCCTCACTAATGCCGATAATTGTCCTATTAATTTTGACAATCAATCTGATCAAGTAGCAACAAAAAAATTTAAATGGTGTTCTTCTTTTGCGTTTAGAAAATTTTGCGAGAAACGACCATTAACAGAAACAAAAATAGCCCGTAGAGATCCGACAAATTCTTGTCGTATTATATAATTAAATTATCTGGCCATACTTGACCTTAATTATTTTTAAAATGATTGGAGATAACCTACAGAATTATTATACCTAACTATTACTTGATATTATGTATGTACATAAAAAAAAATGATTATATATTTTTATCATAATATGACTTGTGCAAAAACGTTGCAGGACTGTGTTGTTTATTAGACTCATATCTACGTTATAGAGACAATTAAAAATTGCAAATTATTAATCTGGTAACTAATAAAATATAATTTAGTTAGGTATAAATTGAAAAACAAAAGAAAATAAAGTCACTAATAAAAAAATCAATCATAATATTATGTCATAATAATAATTTCTTATGTCTAAATAGTATAAAATGAAAAGGGTATAATATTCGGATATTCCATTGTTTGTGTTTGAGTATAATAATATCATTAATTACAATTTATTACTAGCACATCACTGAAATTAGAAATTATAATATGTGACTGTTTAACCCGTTACCACGCACGTGGAACAAAAATATTCCAGCTGTTTTCATACTAATTGTAAAATCGGTTTCTTGAATATGAATTATCAGTTTTCCAATATTATAATAATAGTATGTAGACAATGATTTGACTTATTTAAAAAAAAAAAATTTATTGAATAATGCTTTAAAAACTTAAATTGACTTTTATTATGTTTATACTGTATAAGAAGAAATTGTTTGATTATTGAACACAGAGCCGGTGCATAAAAATTATAATGTGTTAAAAAAATAACCCACACGCATGGTTTTTATGAAAAATCCTACATGCATCATGATGAATTAATAATCTTTATTAGTTATCTGACAATAAAATTAGCTTGAATGCTTACTAGGATAATTAGTTTTGCTGAATATTTATTAATTTCTTTGTTGCCCACAATAGGTCAAGTTTAAAATAAAATGGTGTTATATACACTTTTAATTTTTCACTTTGTTATGGACTCTAGACTGGGTGCTTCTTAAATAATAAAATTATTATATTACATAGGTAATGGCTTAATCAAAAATTAATATATAATATTATATGTTATACCTAACTTAATATAATGTGATACATAATTTCTACTCGGATGTGTTCCTATTAAAAACAATTATAATTAATTTAAATTTGTGTGTATGTGTGTGCGCTTATATGTATACTGAGCTTGTAGAAATGTAGTCATTAACTTACGATATTTTATCACTTTTTTTTGTATTTATAATCGAGTTGCATAGATCAAAGACAAATAGTTATATGATTTCATCAAAATATTATATTTCAATAAATTGTAATACAAACCTACATTAACATAGTTTTAAAAATTGGTTTAATGTTATTGCAATAACTTCATATGTATGTATCTATGTGATGCTCAGAACTGTCCTAGATGTTTAGAACTAATCTAACCATAACAAATATTTTGTTCTATAAACAATAATATAAACTTGCAAAATTTGTCTTCACAATTCACTGGTGTGTGTGTGAAGAGGAATAAAGAGTTTCAATTAAAAAAATTAAAAGTTGCAACCTATATATTTGGTATGAGTATTTTGAACATCAATTACACGTCATATAAATAAAAAGTAGTAAGATACTATTAGTAAAGATACTAATGATTAAAATTGTGAACAAATATTATTTAAACTAATGAACTTTTAGTTTTCTCAGAACTTGTATAAAACGATACCGAGAATTTACATAAATAATAATTACTTGTTAATTATTTACTGATAAATATTTATTTTTATAAATTGACTTTTATTCAAATATTTTGGAAACAATATCTTGGCATTCAAAAAAATAATATTAATATTTTTTATCATAATTTAATATTTATAAATATAAGTGCCAAAAACTATATCCTTTTTCATGAAATAATAATTCGAGAGTGTTCAAAAGTTCAGGGAAAGCTTAGATTTTTACTCCTATATAAAAAGATATATAAAGATAAAAAGCATATTCTTCTAAATGTTTAAATTGTGATTTTATAATACAAACGTTCTAAACTTTCCTGGTTCAAAAAACTTAAAGGAATGATTATTTTAAATTACCAACCATTTTGTAATGAAAGCTACTATTTATGCAGATTATCTAGAATTTAGAGATATATTTGATATGATCCAGTGTAACTATAACCAATTATATTTTTGTGATTTTTATGACTTAAGCATAAAATATATATGCAACTAGTTTAAATAAATAAATAAACATTCATCAGTCATCACCTAGTTATATATTTATACATATTCTAACAGTTTCTTCATATGAATTATAATTTGTATTCTTTTTTTATGATTTTGTTAATTATTTGTTGGTACACTATTAGCATATTTCATTTTTTTTTTTTTTTTTGTGCACACATTTTGTATTGAACTATTAATTATTTGTTTGTATTGCACTTTAATTATTTTTAGTTGATTTTGTATTTTTAAATTTTAGAAAATGTTGATATACCATAAAACACTTAATAAATAGTGGACGCACTGAGCACAAATGAACTGTTTTTGTTTTTCAGTATGTTAAACTGTTTGATTTTTATGATTTTGAAAGGTTTTACAGAAGTAAATGTTTGGGAAAGGACATTGTTTGATTCTAAACTTCCCGATGACAAGAACTTCGTTCACTTAAAGGAGACTACTGTTTAAATCAAGAAATCGGTAAACATTATTTATAGATATTATTGGATTATGATAATAATATTTACTATTCAAAATATTTAATCTGAGATTTCCCTTTCAAGTATGCCTGTACACTTTTTATATAAACAGTTTATTATTTGATTTTAATTTTTAGTAAAAAAAAATTAATCAATTTAAATTTAAAAGCTTATATTTCATCTATACTATAGCCTATCATTTTATGTGGATTTATCACAATGGGTTACAATTGTGTTAAATTGAGTTTCTAGTTAGTTAAAGTTTTCAGGCTATGTTTATACTATCCAAATATAATAATTAATCTAAATAATACAAAATAATATTTGAAGTAGGTACAAAATGTGCATTGAATTGGTTTAATTAGTATTGTCAATTATTTTGATAACTTCTACTACATAAAATTTGAATAGTTAAATGTATTATCTGTATCATATCTTATATCCAACACACTCATATGTAGTAACTATCTACCTAAACCATAAAAGGTATACTCTATTCCAAATAAGTCTGGAAAAAATCCCGATGGAAACGTGTCGTGGTTTGTGCATGTGCAGTCTTATTGGCTGTGGTTGGTGCAGCTGACTACTACACCGTTCAAAGGCTGTGCAGTTTTTCCAGACATTTGGAATAGTGTATAGACGTTTTTGCCCAAATTCTTAAACATTTTAGGTTTGGGTATTGAAGTTAAATTTGTCCTTGATTTTATAAGCTGTCATCTGATAATTCGGTAAATATTATTTTCTGATATTCATTGCTTTTATTTATTGTCTTAACATTCAAATACATGTATTTTGGTTATTTTGTGATGAAAAATATGAGTTATAACTTATAACTTATAACTGCGTATAATATGAATTTGTTGTGTGTGCGGGGCCCCTCCCTATAAGATTTCTAAATACGCCCCTGCTTGCTAATAAATGTTATTTATTTTCAATAAATTTTTGTTGATTAGTGTTTTATTTTAAAATTGTATGATCTGATTTGAGTTTAATTAGTTAATTGGGAAATTTATTTCATTTTCAGTATTAATTATGAAACAGGTTGTTTCAAATGTTTCATTAGTTAATGATACCTACACTCCAGACTATATCCTTATTTAGGATCTTTTAAATATAAATTAGATAATTGTATTCAGTTCCATATATTTGTAATGTATTTATAACTATTTTAATATTCAATGATAATATTACTTATTTTTAGGTGTTAGGTAAGGCTAACGTATGTTTGTTCTTATTATTTTCTTAGTAATTAATATTTTTTATGCTGCAAGGTATATTTTTCAATTTAATTTTAAATACTTATAATATTATAATTTGTGTCACTAATGTTAAAACTAAAAATTCCCTACTAAAAAGTACTAAAAAATTCTTTATATTTCCTGTTCGTGACAAAAACATAACTTTAAATAATTTAATTTTTAAAGTTGTTTACAGAATTAAAGTTTTAAATGTCTTATAATATATCATTTATCCACAACAATTATAGATATAAATCCAATCCTCTTTCATATTTTTGTAGTCTTGTATTAGAAATTATATTCTTTAGGACCTTTAGGTACTCAGTTATAAATAAACCTGTTATAAGTGCATACCATTCTAGTTCACATTATTTAAATAATATTGTTATTCACTACTTTATACCCCTACTCCCTAGATAGGTATATTAAATCAATGGGTAAAATATATCGTGGACCGTGGTTATATATCGATTTACAAAATGCACATTTAGATACATTTAAAGATACATTTAAATTGAAAATACATCCATTGGAATATTATTACATGCGATATTTGTACTTGTCATTACTAACTTATATCAAAAGACAAAAAAATATTGACTTATAATAATAAATTATAAGCTCTTATTTTAGAATAATTTCCAAAGTTTAATTACATAGATCAGAGGTTTCCAAACTGGGTCGTGGCCCACTTTTGGGCCGCTATTATATTTTTGGTGGGTTGCGTTATGTTTTGGAATATTTATATAAGTACTTGTATCATAAAAAATATTTAATATTAGATTTCTGTAGAATACCTATAAAAAAAAAAGACATAGGTACCTACTATGATTGAGTATTTTCCATGTACCTAACTGAAATAATCTTACTTTGATGTTCGAATTAAGTTTTATCATTGATTTCTTCTTTATCATTGATCATTATCCACGACGATTACAAGTGTACCAGTGACGTGTCACCAAGAAGCTGTTAGAATATAAGTCATCACAAAATAACGATTATCAATGAAAATTTCCTTAGTACCTACCTACATAGGCGGTACTAGACCCTCTTGGCAGGGGGGGCCAGAAAATATTTAAACTATCTAACTATATGTTGGAAAGGGGGGGGGTCGTTAAT